GAAAGAAACACTGGTGTCGCGCTTAGCCACTACGCGAAGAATTGCATTAAAGAAATTGCGAGAAAACCACTTTTTAGATTAGACACATTAATTAGGCGGTAATTTTATTATAGAGTATCGATGAGGAAACCACCGCCCCACCCACCCCCCCACTCACACCTCCCCCCCCCACCCCCCCCCCCCCCCCCCACCCCCCCCCCCCACTCCCAAAAAAACATGTCTACCGTCCCATTCAACGAAATATAATTATATACTTTTTCCAGTGTCCGCCCCCCCCTCCCCGAAAATTCTAACCCCGCCCTCGAAAATTTCAATTACCCCCACCCCTCTCCGGGGAGGAAAAAGTCTGAAAGAAACACTGGTGTCGCGCTTAGCCACTACCCGAAGAATTGCAAAGAAATTGCAAGAAACCCACTTTTTAGATTAGACACATTAATTAGGCGGTAATTTTATTATAGAGTATCGATGAAGAAATTTCTTTTGAGTTGGGGAGGGGGGGGGGGGGGGCTCAGACGTTCTTACGCGGGGGGTGGGGCTTCGCCCCTACCCGAAGAATTGTATGCAAGAAACTCTTCACGCAAACCATTAAGATTAGACAACATTTCCTTTTTATTCAATGTTAACGCGAAAATCAATGACGTCATATAACTGTGAGCACTCTCTGGGTTTGAGATTATTTTCTACTCTGTGCTAAATGTGTCGACGTCATACTTCGTTTTTCGAATTACTGTGCATGTTTTTAAATTGCTTGTCTTTTCTCTAGAGCGTTCTTGTCAGACAGATAGATAGATAGATAGAGAGACAGCGAAACTATTATTATACGAGAAAAATGGCCCGTTGAGGAAGGATACACCGGGCGCTAGCTTGATAGTGCTGTCTCTTTTCTCTAAACTAAAACCAACCCCCCCCCCCACACACACCACCCCCACCCCACCCCACCCCACACACCACCCCCCACCCCCACCCCCCACCCCCCACACACACCACCCCCCTCCACACACCGCCCCCCCCCACACACACCACCCCCCCCACCCCTCCACCCCCCCCCCCCCCCCCCCCCCCCAAAAAAAAACATGCCTACCGTCCCATTCAACGAAATATAATTATATACTTTTTCCAGTGTCCGCCCCTTCCCCGAAAATTCTACCCCCGCCCCCGAAAATTTCAAGTACCCCCACCCCTCTCTGGGGAGGAAAAAGTCTAAACTAAAACCACCCCACCCCCCACACACACCACCCCCCACCCCCCACACACACCACCCCCCCACCCCCCCCCCCCACCCCCCCCCCAAAAAAAAACATGTCTACCGTCCCATTCAACGAAATATAATTATATACTTTTTCCAGTGTCCGCCCCCTCCCCGAGGGGGGGGGGGGGGCTCAGACGTTCTTACGCGGGGGGTGGGGCTTCGCCCCTACCCGAAGAATTGTATGCAAGAAACTCTTCACGCAAACCATTAAGATTAGACAACATTTCCTTTTTATTCAATGTTAACGCGAAAATCAATGACGTCATATAACTTTGAGCACTCTCTGGGTTTGTATTTTCTACTCTGTGCGCTAAATGTGTCGACGTCATATTTCGTTTTTCGAATTACTGTGCATGTTTTTAAATTGCTTGTGTTTTCTCTAGAGCGTTCTTGTCAGACAGAGCGTTCTTGTCAGATACACAGACAGCGAAACTATTAGTATTAATATATATATATATATATATATATATATATATATATATATATATATATATATATATATATATAATTAGGTAATTAGGTAGGTAGGCAGGCAGGCAGGTAGGCAGGTAGGCAGGCAGGTAGACAGGTAGGTAGGTAGGTAGGTAAGTAGGCAGGTAGGCAGGTAGGTAGGTAGGTAGGTAGGTAGGTAGGTAGGTAGGTAGGTAGGTAGGTAGGTAGGTAGGTAGGTAGGTAGGTAGGTAGGTAGGTAGGTAGGTAGGTAGGTAGGTAGGTAGGTAGGTAGGTAGGTAGGTAGGTAGGTAGGTAGGTAGGTAGGTAGGTAGGTAGGTAGGTAGGTAGGTAGGTAGGTAGGTAGGTAGGTAGGTAGGTAGGTAGGTAGGTAGGTAGGTAGGTAGGTAGGTAGGTAGGTAGGTAGGTAGGTAGGTAGGTAGGTAGGTAGGTAGGTAGGTAGGTAGGTAGGTAGGTAGGTAGGTAGGTAGGTAGGTAGGTAGGTAGGTAGGTAGGTAGGTAGGTAGGTAGGTAGGTAGGTAGGTAGGTAGGTAGGTAGGTAGGTAGGTAGGTAGGTAGGTAGGTAGGTAGGTAGGTAGGTAGGTAGGTAGGTAGGTAGGTAGGTAGGTAGGTAGGTAGGTAGGTAGGTAGGTAGGTAGGTAGGTAGGTAGGTAGGTAGGTAGGTAGGTAGGTAGGTAGGTAGGTAGGTAGGTAGGTAGGTAGGTAGGTAGGTAGGTAGGTAGGTAGGTAGGTAGGTAGGTAGGTAGGTAGGTAGGTAGGTAGGTAGGTAGGTAGGTAGGTAGGTAGGTAGGTAGGTAGGTAGGTAGGTTGGTAGGTTGGTAGGTTGGTTGGGAGGGAGGCAGGGAGGTATGTTGGTAGGTAGGTAGGTGCGTCATTATGAAATAATAGTAAATACATCATTGTTATGATGTGTGTTTTATCAGGTATTTTGGTGCGAATGAATGTTGTTGCGAGAAATATGACGAATGCATGTTTGATGACGCGGATGAAAGAGAGTGAAGTTTTGCCATAGGAACGGGTTGTTATGGTATGCAAGCTAGGTAGTTCGGACTAGTGAGAATGTGAAAGATACTTCGTGTAATGTCGATAGTTTTATGTTTATACGAGAATAGTAGTTGAATAATTATTGACCAAGAAAATAATAGGCATTGTGTAAAGTGATTATCGCCTGTATCGTGGTGATGGGAATGCAGATGGTAGTGGTACGCTTTAAATGGTAGTAGATCACGTGATCAAACACGACACTCTCACAGCAGCCCTAACAGTCACGTATAAATGTGTCATCTAGTCAATATGGTCTTTGTGCTAAATTTCTCTTTTGCACATTTTTCGTTGTGTTTTTTCTGGTTGCGCATTTTTCTGTTTCTGTTTGCGCTTTTTTCCGTTTGCGCTTTTTTCTGTGTGCGCTTTTTTCTGTTTGCGCTTTTTTCCGTTTGCGATTTTTTTCTGTTTGCGCTTTTTTCTGTGTGCGCTTTTTTCTGTTTTCGCTTTTTTCCGTTTGCGCTTTTTTCCGTTTGCGCTTTTTTCCGTGTGCGCTTTTTTCTGTTTGCGCTTTTTTTCCGTTTGCGCTTTTTTCTCTTTGCGCTTTTTTCTGTTTGCGCTTTTTTCTGTTTGCGCTTTTTTCTGTGTGCGCTTTTTTCTCTTTGCGCTTTTTTCTCTTTGCGCTTTTTTCCGTTTGCGCTTTTTTTCTCGTTGCACTTTTTTCCGCGTGCGCTTTTTTCTCTTTGCGCTTTTTTTCCGTTTGCGCTTTTTTCTCTTTGCGCTTTTTTCTGTGTGCGCTTTTTTCTCTTTGCGCTTTTTGTTTTGCGCTTTTTTCCGTTGCGCTTTTTTCCGTTGCGGTTCTTTCTGGGAACCGGACACAGGACACGCCCATAAATTAGAATCCTTAGTTTTCTCATAACCTTCACAAAATATTTAAAATGTAAGGGGAAAAAACGTAAAATCTGTATTTGCTACATTCTATTATTTCTATAAATAATTACGTCGTAGTCCTAATGAAACCCGACTAATTAATTAATTAGTAATTATTTCTAATTAGCCGTGTCGTGTTTGTGTTAATAGAGGTTAGAATTAAAAAGGTTATTTTCCATGGGCAGAACTTTTTTTATCACCATTTTCTGTATTCATACGCCAGACATTCAGGCACTAAGTCTCACGACTTTAGCACTGGGCAGGGCTGAGCCTTAGTAGCGTAGCGAGGGGGGGGGGGGGCGGGGGGGGGCATATGTCCCCGGGCGCCGAGCTTAGGGGGCGCCAAAATGGGTTGGAAAAATAAATTGAAAGGTTGAGGGGGGTGCAAATTGAAAGTTTGAGGGGGGGGGGGGGTGCAAATCGAAAGTTTGGGGGGGTTGCAAATCGAAAAGTTTGTCCCCGGGCGCCGGGAAGGGTCGCTACGCCTCTGCCGACCCTAGCACTGACCATCAGAGGCTCCCTACCCAAGCACTTTACAAAAATAAAATAGAATAAAATCTCGTAGAAAAAAGAACTGTGCACTAAGTGAACGGCAAATAATATATGTATAATAGTTCTTTATAAATTAATATGTGTTTTTTGAGAAATCGGAGATGGCGTAAATTACTACTTACGTTCAACGGAAATTACTTAAAATTTAAAGAAGGCAGACCATTATATCTTTTACTTATATGTGAAATTTCGTTTATCTATCTGAAAAAGTACTCAAGTTATAGGCCTTTGAAAAGCCAAAAGTAGAATACGTTCCACTTCCGGTTATCGGAAATTGCTGAAAAGTTGTTTCAAAACTACAAATTTGATATCTAAATACTACTAAAACTCAAGTTTGTTTACATGTTTGAATATTTTTTTTTTTTTTTTTTTTTTTTGTTGTTTTTTTGTTTTTTTTGTTTGTCTGATTGGCTACTGGAGAGAATCTGCACTATGTGTAGAGCTGTAAAATAGTATGTAAGTAGAGAACATTTTTTGTTTTCAGACAGACAGTTAATCGCAAATTTATTTAAAGACGTTAATTAATTTATTGATTTATTCATAGGTAGATTAACCACATTAATTTTAAAAGTTTAAATTTAGCCCGATTATAATCAGTCCCCTATACTCCGTATATGATGAAGTACTGAGAAGTAAAACGGTGAAAACTATCAAAATTTCATGTGATTTGTGTGCGCGATTTCAATACTTCCTCTATACCCATGTGATTTGTGTGAGCGATTACTTCCTCTATACTCGGTAGACGAGAAAGTAATGACCTGCTTGTATTGAACTAAGCACAGACCGGTTTTATAGTCATCACTCCAGTCCTTGTCACTGTCGTTGTTTTTTCTTTCAGCAACCCGAGGTACAGCAACCCGAGGTACAGCAACCCGAGGTACAGCAACCCGAGGTACAGCAACCCGAGGTACAGCAACCCGAGGTAAGGTTGCTGGTAGGCCCGGGATTGATGTCCACGTCCTACTGAGGTGACTGGTGTATAACCTGAGGGAGTGAGGGAGAGAGGCCAGAGCTATGGAACACGGGAGGGACACCGGCCAGGGGTCGAGGCGGGCCAGGACACCAAGAGGCAAACACGCGAAGTCTTCTAGAGACGAGGAGAGGGAAGGGAGAGAGTCGAGGGGAGAGATAGGGGGAGGCAGCTCCACGGAGAGGGTGGTGCTGGAGAGACGGAGCTACGGACCCTGGCAGACCCCGAACTACGAGGATCAAATCAGCCTGGTGGAGCGGCTGGCGAACCCCAAACCCGTGCCCCCAAATGACCCGCAGTTCGACGCCTGGGGTCAACCATTTTGAACAGTACTGGGCCACCAGCTGTGACGGCCAAAGGCCAAGGCCAAGGTCAAGCGCGGGACCCACTCCAGAAAAACGTAGCGAAGTGAAGCGACGCCCGCAGACCACATCTGGGAGGCAAGACACCAGCCCACAGCGGCGCCCTAACACCAGCCCACAGGGGCGCCCTAACGCCAGCCCACAGGGGCACCCTGACACCAGCCCACAGGGGCGCCCTAACGCCAGCCCACAGGGGCAGCCTGGCACCACACAGGGGCGCCCTGTCACCAGCCACGAAGGCCGGAGCAAGTCCCCAACGACCAGGATGAGAGGCAGAAGTCAAACGAGACAGGTAAGTCCATGTGACGTTTTTTGATGGTCAGACAAGACAGTCCATGTGACGTTTCTTGATGGTCAGACAAGACAGGTAAGTCCATGTGACGTTTTTTGATGGTCAGACAAGACAGTCCATGTGACGTTTTTTGATGGTCAGACAAGACAGTTTATGCAGCGTTTCTTAGCTCGGGCTTTCCAGGATTTGATTCTTCAGAAAACTTTTTTTTTTAATTGAAAAACTACCGGGTCGTAAAATATTCCAAAGATTAAAAAAACACCCGACGTTGATTGGTTGTGTCTAGACAAACTTCGTCTTCTCATTTTAAAAACACTTTCTTCAGATCCGCCCTATTCTAATCCGCTCTACCCTAACACTAATCCGCTCTACCCTAACACTAATCCGCTCTACCCTAACACTAATCCGCTCTACTCTAACACTAATCCGCTCTACCCTAACACTAATCCGCTCTACCCTAACACTAATCCGCTCTACCCTAACACTAATCCGCTCTACCCTAACACTAATCCGCTCTACTCTAACACTAATCCGCTCTACCCTAACACTAATCCGCTCTACCCTAATCCGGTAATACTAATCGGCTAATCCATGCCATGTGCACAAAGCATTCTGGTACCCCTTAACGGAACTGTGCCAATACCACAAATATCTTAACTAAATATTTTCTCGTTTTACTGCAGGTACAACATCTTGTTACCCTCAGAGTTTCTTTCGGGCATATCTTCGGGAAGACCCCCCGAACAGAATTTATATATATAAAATATATACTTTTACCAATTTCCGTCCACCCCCCCCCCCTATCCCCAACTCTCAGAAAATAAGTCTGCTTCCCCCCCCCCCCACCACGAAAATGTAAAGTGCCCCCCCCCCCCCATGAAAAAAGTCTGAAAGAAACATTGGGTAATCACATATTAATAACTAGTTGAAATCCATGTTCCAGGAAAGCAGGGGCCGCTACTTGAGTTGCCAGCGCGTGACGTCAGCCCAGCTGCAGGAGATCGTGACCCGGCTGACCCGTGACACCACGGCCCACAAGGTCAAGTGCGCGCCCAACCCCCACGTCTGGGTGGACACGTCACCCGGCGCCCACATGGTCAGGAGGCGGCAACAGGCCGTCACGTCACAGTGACGTGACGATGACGTGACCAGGCCATGACGTCATTCCGTTGGTACCGTGATGTGGCCGTGACGTGACAACGTATTGATAAAGTAAAATTAAAACAGATGACACATTTTCGTGACAATCTTTCCAGATTTTAAATGAAATAAAAATAAAACCATATTGAATCTTTAGCAAATGTCATATTTTGATTTTTCATGGTACAACTATATACGGACTAGCTGCATACCCGTGCTCCGCCTCGGTAAATCTTTTTTAAATGTACCAACTTGGGAACAGAACAAAATAAACAAAAACACAAACACAACAAAAACAAAAACAAAAACAAAAACACAAACAAAAGACAAAACACAACCACAACACAAACACAACACAAACACAACATTAGAATCACCACCGAACAACACGCTTTCTTAGCCTTTCCAGCATTAAAAATTAAAGTCACATAAATAGATCCTACGCCATAACTTACAATAAAACAATGCGATGCAAATAAATGTACGGCAAGTGGTGTTTACTTTTATGGTTCTAAGAAAATACATTGGCAATGTAATTAGAATCACCACAAAAAATACGCTTTCCCATGTGTCCGCGCCCAGAGAGAGCATTTCCAGCATTCTCTTTAAGTCTAATTTCATTATCTGTTTTAATAACACCGAAAACCAAAAACAAAAAGAGAGATCATAGACTAATTAGAAAATAATATAAATAATCTTAACATTTTTCTATTTTAATTATGAACCTTAACATATAATAATTAATGCGGTAGTAATAAAAAAATTAACTTAAATTATTGAGAGTGAGTTGAATTTATTTTTTAAATTACCTCCCTTGGCAAATTTTTTTTTTTTTTTTTTTTTTTTTTTTTTCGACCATACTGTTATAAAAATGTATCTATTTTTTGCAAGAATCTAAGCGAAAATGATATTTGACATTGATTTGTTTAATATGCTTTAGCAATGTGAGTGTATTTAATATTTTCTTTACGTAATGCGAAAGAGTAAAAACTGTGGCAATTATACAGTAAATTTAAGTCGTTATATAAATAAACCTTACTCTATCACATATAATAAGACAATGCGATGCACTGAAAAGCACTTCATGGTGCGATGTTGACTTTTTATGGCGATGAAAGGAAGGATTGACACACTACCACCAGCGTTAAATTATAGATCCCTGTTTGTCTAATGTGCTATCAGTACCGCTGTATGGGGCAAAGACTTAAGGGACGCCACAGACGCCATTGATCATGTAGACCTTTAAAACAGCTGCCTCAGACAAATGCTCAGGGTCCTCTGACAGGAAGAGATCAGGACAAGGTGGGGGTTGGATAAACTACTCCATATCCCAGCATGAGGGCCATACTCCATCTGACTTGCCCATACTCCAGCAGGTTGGCCCATACCCCAGCGTGGGTGAGGACCTTTAAGCGAGCAACTGCCTGTTTATATCTCAATATTTGACATTGGCCGCCCCATCCCCCCATCCCATCCCGCCCCACCCCACTAGAAGCTGCAACTCCTAGTTCCGCCCTCGTGACATTGCGGCACCAGCTTCCTGTTATCAACAGCTCCAATCAGGTGATATCGATCTCATATCGAACTGTTTAGCGTGCCAACACTACATGACAGTTGCTAAAAATAGCCACCAAAAACTAAAAGCGTCCACACAGTTGGTCGCCTAACACTGACATCTATACATGACGTCACTTCCTGGGCCACAGGCCCCTGTTTTGGCTGGGCCACAGGCCCCTGTTTTGGCTGCTCGTGACTCCCGCGTGTAACCCCAAAGGTCAGCATTAATTATAGAGCAGGCGCCAGTAAAAACAACAAACACAGACTCACACAGTCGCACGCTCATGACGTGTTTACTGCGGGCTATTTGAGTAACATTCGTCAAGGCCAGATTTGTGGCCCACGGTGACGTCAGAAATCTGGCAGGCCAAGTGGCCCACAGTGACGTCAGAGATCTGGCAGGCCAAGTGGCCGATGCTTAAGATATTTGAGCTGTTTCAAATAACACGTGGAGCATCCATTGCTATTTTTTAATGGTCAATTCTAAACACCATTATCATGTCAATTCTAAACACCATTATAACACCATCTTTAAACACCATTATAACATCATCTTTAAACACCACCGACCAACAACCACATACGATGCAATTACTCGAGTACTTTGAAACGCAATAAAGTAAAGGTGAAGGGGGAGGGGAAAACAAACAATTTTTAACAACCCTGAGACATAATAAAACAACAACCCTGAGACATAATAAAACAACAACCCTGAGACATAATAAAACAACAACCCTGAGACATAATAAAACAACAATCCTGAGACATAATAAAACAACAACCCTGAGACATAATAAAACAACAACCCTGAGACATAATAAAACAACAACCCTGAGACATAATAAAACAACAACCCTGAGACATAATAAAACAACAACCCTGAGACATAATAAAACAACAACCCTGAGACATAATAAAACAACAACCCTGAGACATAATAAAACAACAACCCTGAGACATAATAAAACAACAACCCTGAGACATAATAAAACAACAACCCTGAGACATAATAAAACAACAACCCTGAGACATAATAAAACAACAACCCTGAGACATAATAAAACAACAACCCTGAGACATAATAAAACAATAACCCTGAGACATAATAAAACAACAACCCTGAGACATAATAAAACAACAACCCTGAGACATAATAAAACAACAACCCTGAGACATAATAAAACAACAACCCTGAGACATAATAAAACAACAACCCTGAGACATAATAAAACAACAACCCTGAGACATAATAAAACAACAACCCTGAGACATAATAAAACAACAACCCTGAGACATAATAAAACAATAACCCTGAGACATAATAAAACAACAACCCTGAGACATAATAAAACAACAACCATGAGACATAATAAAACAACAACCCTGAGACATAATAAAACAACAACCCTGAGACATAATAAAACAACAACCCTGAGACATAATAAAACAACAACCCTGAGACATAATAAAACAACAACCCTGAGACATAATAAAACAACAACCCTGAGACATAATAAAACAACAACCCTGAGACATAATAAAACAACAACCCTGAGACAAAATTTAAAAAAAAATAAAGACAAAAGTTGGACAAGAAACGACTACAAACATTACAAGACAACAAATAAAACAATAACAAATAGGACAACATATTGACAGGAAGAAAAATATTAATCAGCGGATTTTAAAAAAAAAACAGGCAATAGAATAAAAAAACCTGTGTTGAATAACGGCTAATGATGTCTTGTATCAGATCCTCTAAGGCTGTAGTTAGGCCAGCCAAGTTAATTACTTTTTTTTTTAAAATTGGGATTATAAAAATAAAAAATACACCAGATCTTAGCAAGACGTGAATCACCACATTTGTTGAAAATACATGGACGTACAACATGTAGACATACACAAGAATTGGACATTTGTCAACACCACCATCAGTTCACCTGGCGTAGGTCTATTAGTTGACGTGTAATTTTGTGGGCTTTAAAGGTGGGGGGGGGGGGGGGGGGGGGGTGTCGAAGTCATAGCGGACTAGTGGTGACATTAGCGAACTAATGGTGACATTATCCCCCCCCCACCACCCCCACCCACCGGCACCAATTATCTCCCAACACAGCTATACGATATTGCTTTTAAAATTCCATCTGATTATTTGCTTTATTTATAGAAATTCCATTGATCTCTCCCCCCCCCCCCTCCCGCCCCTGATGCCACCTAATGGATGTTACAGCCCGACATCAACCAGATCACAGGGCCTACACTGGCACAGTTGTCTGATGAGAGGCGGTCAAACTTTTTTATGGGGGGGGGGGGGGGGGTCGTTCATACACAACGTCACAACAAGTCAAACTCTTACACCCCCCCCCCTCCACACACACACACAACCTCAAACCTCCCAGACTTTGCCCATTAAAAAAAAATAATTAAAACTGCTATTTCTTTCTAAAATATAGAATCTGGTCGAAATTCGTAATAAAATGAGGTTCTCTCCTCTCCATAAAAAAGTGAGGTTCTAGACCCTCCATAAAAAAATCAAAGAAAAAAATTGAGGTTCTCTCCCTCCATAAAGAAAAGTGAGGTTCTCTCAATTCCAAAAAGAAAAAAAATTGAGGTTCTCTCCCTTCCATAAAAAAATTGAGGTTCTCTCCCCTCCATTAAAAAAATGTAAGATTCTCTCCCCTCATAAAAAATTGAGGTTCTCTCACCTCCATAAAAAATGTGAGGTTCTCTCCCTTCCATAAAAAAACTGAGATTCTCTCCCCTCCATATAAAAAAAAATGAGGTTCTCTCCCCTCCATAAAAAAAATTGAGGTTCTCTCCCTTCCAAAAAGAAAAAATGTTATCTCACCTCCATCTTGAGCATCCCCTCCGGACAGTCCCTCATGAAATCTTTGTACCACTGTTGTAGCTCTTTCTTGTCGACTGGGGACAGGAGGACAAAGGTTACAACACAGACTTTAACGGGAGGTCAGAGGTTACAACACAGACTTTAACTGGAGGTCACAGGTTACAACACAGACTTTAACTGGAGGTCGGAGGTTACAGCACAGACTTTAACTGGAGGTCAAAGGTTACAACACAGACTTTAACGGGAGGTCAAAGGTTACAACACAGACTTTGACGGGAGGTAGAGGTTACAACACAGACTTTAACTGGAGGTCAAAGGTTACAACACAGACTTTAACTGGAGGTCAAAGGTTACAACACAGACTTTAACTGGAGGTCAAAGGTTACAACACAGACTTTAACTGGAGGTCAAAGGTTACAACACAGACTTTAACTGGAGGTCAAAGGCAGTAAAAATAGCAACCTCTACACCTTACTGACAACTGACATAGCAACCTCTACACCTTACTGACAACTGACATAGCAACCTCTACACCTTACTGACAACTGACATAGCAACCTCTACACCTTACTGACAACTGACATAGCAACCTCTACACCTTACTGACAACTGACATAGCAACCTCTACACCTTACTGACAACTGACATAGCAACCTCTACACCTTACTGACAACTGACATAGCAACCTCTACACCTTACTGACAACTGACATAGCAACCTCTACACCTTACTGACAACTGACATAGCAACCTCTACACCTTACTGACAACTGACATAGCAACCTCTACACCTTACTGACAACTGACATAGCAACCTCTACACCTTACTGACAACTGACATAGCAACCTCTACACCTTACTGACAACTGACATAGCAACCTCTACACCTTACTGACAACTGACATAGCAACCTCTACACCTTACTGACAACTGACATAGCAACCTCTGCACCTTACTGACAACTGACATAGCAACCTCTACACCTTACTGACAACTGACATAGCAACCTCTACACCTTACTGACAACTGACATAGCAACCTCTACACCTTACTGACAACTGACATAGCAACCTCTACACCTTACTGACAACTGATATAGCAACCTCTACACCTCACTGACAACTGACATAGCAACCTCTACACCTCACTGACAACTGACATAGCAACCTCTGCACCTTACTGACAACTGACATAGCAACCTCTACACCTTACTGACAACTGATATAGCAACCTTTGCACCTTACTGACAACTGATATAGCAACCTTTGCACCTTACTGACAACTGATATAGCAACCTTTGCACCTTACTGACAACTGATATAGCAACCTTTGCACCTTACTGACAACTGACCTATTACTTGACATAAAATTTCGAGCTTTTATTTTCTGTTTATATTTTGTACGCATGCGAGTGTTGATCTCTATCGGGCCAACGTTTGAAGTTGCGGCCCTTGTACGTGATATCTCCCAGTAGAGCGCATCATTAATGGACCATAATGCCCGTGGTTCTCTGTTGCCATGGTAACCAAAGATAAAGGTCCCAGAGTAGCGGGGTAGCTGTTCAAAGTTGAAAAGTTGATGTGAGAGTCGGGTTCGATGGAGCCCACTGTTCTAAGCTCTTTTTATTTTCTACTATTTATTCGTTTCGGCATCTTAACTTAAGGGTGAATTTAATTGGCGTCCAGTGAAGTTTTAGAGAACGACAATCAGCGTAATTGTTAATTTTTTTCCAGACTGTCGCACACACAAACACACACGCATATATGTATATATATATATATATATATATATATATATATATATATATATATATATATATATATATATATATATATATATATGCCTCTGATTCCCGGCATCACGTGCTCCCATTGGTTGCTGGGTAAACAAACCGAGTCACGTGATTGGATACTTGACAGCGCATGAGCACCATCAGGAATTTCAGAATTATATGAGTGTGACTGTTGGACATGGGGTTTGGGTAGGGAGGTGGGGCACGAAGGTGGGGTTCCGGGCGATGGGGGGGGGGGGGGGTCTGCAGTGGGTTTAATGATCGTTCTGATGGGCTGATCAGACTGATTAAAGATATCGTAGAGGTTTATTTTAGCTGAGAATATTTTCCTCGCGCATCTATATATAATCAGCTTGGGAAGAAATGAAAGGGGCGTGTTATGATTTGTTTTGTGTGTAAACAATAACTTAGTCATCAGACTAGATTCCCTTTGTTTGTATTTATTAATACAATAAACCACCGCCTTAATTTCCTGTGTGTGAAATGTAACAATGGACACAAGAACCCGGGGGTGGGTAGTGTTTGGCGGGTCGGGTACAAAAGTGGGCGGGGTGACGGTGGCAGTGCCAGACATCATTGGAATGTGGTGTTTTTGTCAAGGAAATGGTCAAGAATTCTCAGCAAGGTCACGACAATGGCGAGGGTGTATAAAAAAACATTGACCTTTACAGCCGTATTACAGCTATCAGTCGAATGCCGAGCCATGTTCTGCAGCTATAGACCTACAATAGGTCAAGCTATGGAACAGCTATAGACCTACAATAGATCAAGCTATGGAACAGTTATAGACCTACAATAGATCAAGCTATGAAACAGTTATAGACCTACAATAGATCAAGCTATGGAACAGCTATAGACCTACAATAGATCAAGCTATGAAACAGTTATAGACCTACAATAGATCAAGCTATGGAACAGCTATAGACCTACAACAGGTCAAGCTATGGAACAGCTATAGACCTACAATAGATCAAGCTATGGAACAGCTATAGACCTACAATAGATCAAGCTATGAAACAGTTATAGACCTACAATAGATCAAGCTATGGAACAGCTATAGACCTACAATAGATCAAGCTATGAAACAGTTATAGACCTACAATAGATCAAGCTATGGAACAGCTATAGACCTACAATAGATCAAGCTATGAAACAGTTATAGACCTACAATAGATCAAGCTATGGAACAGCTATAGACCTACAATAGATCAAGCTATGAAACAGTTATAGACCTACAATAGATCAAGCTATGGAACAGCTATAGACCTACAATAGATCAAGCTATGGAACAGCTATAGACCTACAATAGATCAAGCTATGAAACAGTTATAGACCTACAATAGATCAAGCTATGGAACAGCTATAGACCTACAATAGATCAAGCTATGAAACAGTTATAGACCTACAATAGATCAAGCTATGAAACAGTTATAGACCTACAACAGGTCAAGCTATGAAACAGTTATAGACCTACAATAGATCAAGCTATGGAACAGCTATAGACCTACAATAGATCAAGCTATGGAACAGTTATAGACCTACAATAGATCAAGCTATGGAACAGCTATAGACCTACAATAGATCAAGCTATGGAACAGCTATAGACCTACAATAGATCAAGCTATGAAACAGTTATAGACCTACAATAGATCAAGCTATGGAACAGCTATAGACCTACAACAGGTCAAGCTATGGAACAGCTATAGACCTACAATAGATCAAGCTATGAAACAGTTATAGACCTACAATAGATCAAGCTATGAAACAGTTATAGACCTACAATAGATCAAGCTATGGAACAGCTATAGACCTGCAACAGGTCAAGCTATGGAACAGCTATTGCATTCAGTTATGCTAAAGACCTTCTTTATTAAACAAACACTGACATGTCACAAATCGTAAAACTTTTTCTTTAACATTAACCTCTACAAAATCATTAAAATTTAATTAATCAATAGTTTATATTTCCATTAGCGTCGTATCCATGGCTAATGGAAAGATTATCTTAATCCCAACTGTAACGGTAAACTAATAGGTGTGAAAACCTCTTGGGTGAATCCGTCTCCTATACTCATTGGGGGGGGGGGGGGGGGGTGCGATTTATCGTGGATGTAGTGTGGGTGTAGTGTGGGGCGTAGTGTGGGTTTAGTGTGGGGTGTAGTGTGGGTGTGGTGTGGGTGTAGTGTGAGGTAGTATGGGTGTAGTGTGGGTGTGGGTGTGGTGTGGTGTGGGTGTGGTGTGGGTGTAGTGTGGGTGTAGTGTGGGTGTAGTGTGGGTGTAGTGTGGGGCGTAGTGTGGGTTTAGTGTGGTGTGTAGTGTGGGTGTGGTGTGGGTGTAGTGTGAGGTAGTAAGGGTGTAGTGTGGGTGTGGGTGTGGTGTAGTGTGGGGGTGTAGTGTGGGTGTAGTATGGGTGTGGTGTGGGGGTGTAGTGTGGGTGTAGTGTGGGTGTGGTGTGGGTGTAGTGTGGGTGTGGTGTGGGTGTGGTGTGGGTGTAGTGTGAGGTAGTGTGGGTGTAGTCTGGGTGTGGTGTGGGTGTGGTGTGGGTGTAGTTTGGGTGTAGTGTGGGTGTGGTGTGGGTGTAGTGTGAGGTAGTGTGGGTGTAGTGTGGGTGTGGTGTGGGTGTAGTGTGGGTGTGGTGTGGGTGTAGTGTGGGTGTAGTGTGGGTGTGGTGTGGGTGTGGTGTGGGTGTAGTGTGGGTGTAGTGTGAGTGTAGTGTGGGTGTAATGTGAAGTAGTGTGGGTGTGGTGTGGGTGTAGTATGGGTGTAGTGTGGGTGTAGTGTGGGTGTGGTGTGGGTGTAGTGTGGGTGTAGTGTGGGTGTGGTGTGGGTGTAGTGTGGGTGTAGTGTGGGTGTAGTGTGGGTGTAGTGTGGGTGTGGTGTGGGTGTGGTGTGGGTGTGGTGTGGGTGTAGTGTGAGGTGTGGTGTGGGTGTAGTGTGGGTGTGGTGTGGGTGTAGTGTGGGTGTAGTGTGGGTGTAGTTTGGGTGTAGTGTGGGTGTGGTGTGGGTGTAGTGTGAGGTGTGGTGTGGGTGTAGTGTGAGGTAGTATGGGTGTAGTGTGGGTGTGGGTGTGGTGTGGGTGTGGTGTGGGTGTGGTATGGGTGTAGTGTGGGTGTAGTGTGGGTGTAGTGTGGGTGTAGTGTGGGTGTAGTGTGGGTGTAGTGTGGGGGTGTAGTGTGGGTGTAGTGTGGGTGTGGTGTGGGTGTAGTGTGAGGTAGTGCGGGTGTAGTGTGGGGTGTAGTGTGGTATATGGGGTAGGTATTGGTAAATGGCAACTTCAATTTTG